TCATAAAACATTGTAAATGAATACAGGGACTTTGTAAATGATAAAGATTACTACATATAAGCAATCTATAATGTTCAATCTGGGTCTGTATGAATTTTCGGATTTTTTGACCGTGCCATTGATGAGAACGGACAGTCGAAACATTGTGCAGACACTCAAATTTGAAGTCACATGACTTTCTAAGCATTGGCTCACCAATGTTGCAACCACTCATTCTCAACAACAGCTTGGTCAAAAATCTAAAATTTTGTAGGAAGGTTGATTTACTACTCTAGATTACATAAATATATTAATTCAGCTACATGGTCTATTCAGAAAATACAAAAAAAAATTATTTGCTTCTGCCACATATTCTCATCTCCACCTTCAGCCATTGAGCTTGGTGAGAGGGTCTAGAAATGTGATTTGTGCAGATTGTTATCATCTACATAATGTCCCATCCCCCAGATTTTTATGAGCTACTTTTCCCCTATAAACACATGGTGCCACAATTTACAAAAACTCAATTAATTAATCAGGATTGAATTTTTGTCACTACTTCTAGAAATGAAAAATGAGTGGTTTTCCTTCATCTTGAATATGGTGTATTATATGTGGTATGTTTCTCAGAATATGAATTGTTTGGACTGAAATATCAATGTATATTTCCATAAAATTATATTATGAGCTTGTGTATATCTTAAACAAGTGTTAGGATTGCCTGCACATTTAACTCAAATCTATCTGAGACCTGAATTAATTTATTTCAATGGTTATAACTTGATTTAAAGCAAAATAGGTCTGACCTGCGGGTACCCGTCAAAAGTGGAGAGCTTGACCCGTGACCTGTTAATGACCCGTGGGAAACGGGTACCTGACCCACGGATCACTAAACCTGCGGGTTTTCCCACGGATCAAACCCACAGGTACCCGTTGATGACCCTGACTCGTGAAGGTCTTTACTGGGGGAACCTCCCAGACTCAGCAGGACTAGTTATATTGATAGTGAGTCCTTCCCGGCTAGTCAGTCCTACTACTTCCTGACTTTGCGTCCGTCGGTAGATTTTCTGTGTCCCTTCCGAAGGAGCAGGGCGTTTTCTCTTAGTTACTCAGATGCGTCTGTATGTAGTACGCTCCAAATATGGAAATTTTGCACAATTGTCTTCTCGTAATCGTGTCTTCTGGTCACGTTCCCGCCACTTTTCCAATTCTGCTCAAACAAACCGACGTTGTCTGGTTCAGCATGGGCAATATGGTGTAGTGGTCACCGCCTCATCTCGATTGGTCACCCCCCTTGGCTATGAAGGATGAGGTTCTTGGTTCGAATCCAAGGTTGTCCTTCAGCTCTTACGTTCTGTTTTCTCTTCCGGGGGTTAAACTGTGTTTTTGTTTTTCCCGCCGGAAGACTCTCTGTTGGCCAAGAAGCCTGGATCCGTTTCCCAATCACGGCAGTATGGTGCAGTGGCTAGCATCCTCTTTCATAGTTCTTCTTCGAAAGAGTCTTTGGTTCGACTCCAATGCTGTCATTATTTCGGCTCATTCAATCTTTTTCTCTGCTGCCCGGAGGTGACGTAATTCTGGTACTTCACGTTTTTCCAGCGGAAGGTGTTCTCTGTCGGTTAACAAGATCACATCGACATCCCCAATCATGGCAGTATGGTGCAGTGGTTAGTACCCTCCTTGTGGCTGATGCCTCCAAGGAGTCCTTGGTTCAACTCCAAGACTGCCAATGGTTGAGGTCCTACTATGTTCACCTTTTTCTTCCGAGGGTTCAAAGAACCCCTTTCTCAACTTTCTAGTGTCCGTCGGAGGTTGTTTGTCAGGAACGATCACTCTCAATGAGGGCGCCACTCAAGTCACACAAGACAAGACGAGAGAAAGAGAGAAAAGATAGATAGAAATATAGAGAGAAGTAGTTGAGTGAGCTGACTAGGCTCGATACAGCGTAGGTGATCATACGGTGTAGAGACGAAGTGAACGGACTGGGGAACTACCTACAATGTCTGTGAGTACTTATACTGTAGAGAACAAGGGATATGGAAGATAAGGTATCACGGAGACAGAGTATTGATGGAAAAGGCTGTGAGTTGTCTGATGGAAGGGAACAAAGGAAAGAACAAGGTAACTGATGGGAGAAGCAGATGTGGTAACCGAGGTGACTTCTGCTTCTATCTTCTGATCTGAACAGCCTTGACTCCAGGCTTCTGTGATGATGGTTCAATGGTGAAGTAATACTGTGTCTGGGGTCTCGATGGAGGAAAAAGGATTGATACGGTTCGTGACATTGTTTCTCGCTCAACCCCTCCACCATTTATTTGGTCAAGAGGCCCGCTTTCACCCCTCCATCATGGGCAGTTTGGCACAGTGGTTAGTGCCCTGTCTCTAGCGTACTGCGCTATGAGACAGTGCCTGGTTCGAATCCAGGGCTGCCCCCTTCGGTCTGTGAAGAAATTGTAGCTTTTTCATTCACCGGAAAAGGGAGAATATTTAGTCACGTGACAAACTTTTGCCACAGCCCCCTTTTGGTAATTGAAGTAAAAGCTACCTCCTTGTCCAGCACAGTAGTACGGCGCAGTGGTAAAGCCATCTTTCGAGGGTGTAAACTCCTCGCAAGAGTCCTTGGTTTGAATCCAAGTACTGCTCATACGCAAACTCTTCGGTGCTCTTTTTATCCTTCTGACTCTTTCTCTTCCTTCGGTGGCAAGGGTTGCCACAGCTGCGGCTGCTGGTCAACCTAAAGGCAACCTCCCTACCCATCATGGTAGTTTGGCATAGTGGTTATGCCCTCTTGCCGGTTTCCCATAACTCGCAAGAGTCCTTGGTTCAAATCCAGGACTACTCAATGCAGATTTGTTGGGTTCCGACGGTTTTTCATTTTTCGTTGGACACCACCTGGTCTTGAGTTAGCCTGCTCCGCCGGAAGTTTTGTTCCGGTGGCATAAGCTTGCCACAGTTAACTTCGCTTGGCCAAACTAAAGGTAACTTCGTTACAGATCATGGTAGGATGGCATAGTGGTAATGCCCTCTTGCAAGTTTCCCATGCCTACTCAATGGTATTCCTAGATTTGATGGTTTTTATCTGTCGCGTTTCTTTGAGTCTCGTTCTTCCCGTGGGAGTCCCATTTTAGTCTTAAACTTCTTCTGTTCCACCGGAAGGTTTGTTCCGGATGGCAAAAGCTTTCCACAGCAAATTACGCTCGGCCAAAGTAAAGGTAGTTTCGTTACCAGCTAGGGTAGGATGGCGTAGTGGTAATGCCCTCTTGCATGTTTCCCCTAACTTGCACGAGCCTTCTGGTTCAAATCCAGGGCTACTCAATGGAGATTCTGTGAAATTGCCTTTTTTTAACTTTTGGATCCATCTTCAGTCTCATATCATGTTCTTCTAAATGACAGGAGACGTTCAGCCTGGTACGGCAGTTTGGTAGAATGGCTACCAGGGCTAGTGGTAGTTGTCCTACTCCTAGACTCCTCGGTTCGAATCTGTCCTGTCGAATTGCGCCTCACTCGAATCGCTCGCCTTTTTGGGAAAACTGTCTCATAACGTGACGCTACAAGTCACGCCTTGATGAGTCAACCTTGAGGCGTGGCCAAACCTTTCTTAGTTGGGCACTATTCTTCGGAAGTACTTGACCACCCTTCATCTTCCGGTATTTCCGCCGGAAGTTCCTCGATGGTACCTTCTGTTCTTAGTTCAACCGGAGGTGTGTCATCTGGCTCAGGACCATTTATGATCTCCTCAAGTTCACCTTCGGATAAACCAGTGAGTCCTGTCAGATTGTCAGGCAGCTTTATCTTTCGTCTGGCATGATATGGATAGACGCGGAAAGCCGCTATCTTATTTTGCAAGACCGAACCATCCATTTCCGCCAGAACGTAAGACCCTCCAATTGTCCGTCGGACAACTATACATGGCCCTAGGAAACGCGGTTTCAACTTCCTGTTGAGTGATTTCTCTATTGCTGTATTTCTTACTAGTACTAGGGAGCCAGGCTTAAAATTCCAGTTACGAACTTTAGCCTTGTGAGTGTCTAAGTACCTCAAAGTATCTTTAATTTTCTTCTTTTCAATGCTCTCAATGATCCTGTCGACTTCCAAGGTATGCAAGGCTAGGGCCTTGGGTCTTTCCCCAATAAGTTCTGCCCAGGAAAGGGTCCTATCAGGTACTTGTACTAGCCAGGTTGCTTGAACAATATCAAACGGAAGAACAGGCATGGCGCCGGTAACAGCAAAGAAGGGGGAACAACCCATCCGTTTCCTTGTGGTAATCCAGTCCGCCCACATTACCAGCGGAAACCTTCGAGCCCACTTTTTGACGTCTCCGTCGCAAGCTTTATAAAGAGCCTGACGGACATCCCAGTGAGGTCTCTCAATCTTTCCGTTGGCTTGCGAATTGTAACCTGATATTTGGATCCCTTTTATTCCCAGCTGATGTGGTAAAACTTTTTAAAAAGTACGGGTTAGTTAACTGCACGATAATTTAAAAAGTACAGGTTAAAGGTTACGTAGCCCAAAGTGGAAGAGGGAAAAATGGCATTTTTTATCTGTTTTGGGGTGGGAGCCTTTTCCTTATATGGAATTCCCTGTTTGGAAGGTGTTTTAAAGCTAAAACCACCATCAGAGCAAGTGTGAGCCATTGTAGATGTGATTATAAACATAACTAAACAATTATGTAAGCTGTACAGAAAACATCATTTATTGAGCTTATATGCATAGGAGGAGGTCCCTAACCTTATCCCTAACCCTAACTATCCCTAACCCTACCTATCCCTAACCCTAACAAGCTAGTTGCCGGGCAGGTTCGAATCCGGGGGGGCAGATTTACATTGTGGCTGAATGTGGCTATGCCTTTAACCCGTACT